TTGACAGAAGTGACATGATGATTACCAGTACGGATTGCACGCGAAAAACCTTAAAATGGTACAAGAAATTATTTCTTCGTACCCTCGATATATGCATGCTAAATGCGCATGCTTTATATAAGACCCAGAATGCCAGTAACATCTTATTTCCTGCCTTCCATTTAGAAGTTATCCGGCAGCTTCTGGAAAGGTATTTTTATTCTTTTATTTTTGTAAATTTTTTATCGTACGCATTTTTTAGATATCCAGCGCAATACCAAATGAAACAAAACATACAACCTCCTACCGTGGCCAGACTATTAGGAAAGCACTTCCCTTCAGAAGTTCCTCGCAAAAATGGGAAAGCGCAAATGAGAAGATGCTGGGTCTGCTCGCATACAACAAACGGTGCAAAAAAAAGGAAAGAATCGAGATTCATGTGCAAAGATTGTGAAGTCGGGCTCTGTGTTGCACCATGTTTCCAAATATACCACGAACAGATCAAATATTAGTAGTAGCAGTAGAAACGGGGAAAAAAGACTAGATCAGAAGAAAAGGCTCACACTTATTTTTGATATTTTGTTCCTAATATTTTTATTATTTGTTAATTTTTGTTCTTATATTTTTGCTTTACCAAGAGTTTTAGTTAATTTTGTATTGTTTGATTATTTCTTCAATAAAAACAACTTTTTCCACATTGTCGTATATATTCCACAGCCGCCTGTTTGCCACTGCAAAAACTCCCGTCCGTGTGGCACGCAACCTATTTTTGAGTGCCGTCCTGAAAGGGCTAGTGTTAGTTCTAGTTTTACACTAGCACTATCACCAGAACTAACACAAGACCTAGAACTAGAATCATTCGGGTTTAGCCGTCTTGAGAGACGTGCTGGTAAATCCGAATGTTTCTAATTCTCGGTTTAGTGTTAGTTCTAGTTTTAATTGTTATTCAACGTTAGATTGTGGTATATTTTTATGAAACGAAAAGTACACTGGGGTTCAAAAGAAATGAACCACCCCGAAAGAGGAGACGCAAAACTTAAAAATTACGTAGAAATAGTTAGTGCCTAGAGATAAACAAATGACAATATTTATTGACAATATCGTTAATAATGTGTTGCATCTCCGAGTACTCTTATACATTCAGTAACCCTTCGTGGCATGGTGAAAATCAGATGGTCGATTGCCTCTCGGGGCAGCTCATTCCAGGCTACCTGTAGCTGTTGACATAATTCCTCTAAAGAGTTGGGAGGATGGGGTAATCGACGCAATTTTCTGTCCATCATATACCAGACATGTTCAATAGGGTTTGTTCAATAGAATATTGTTTTTTGCTAAGAACTCTAACGTTACGTGAGCAATATGCATTATCGTGTTGGAAGACACGATAACACGGGCTCCAGAATGGCGTCAATGTAACGGCGCACGTTTAGGGTGCCCTGAATGAATGCCAAAGGAGACCTGCCACCATAGCGTATTGCTCCCCACAGCATTACACCAGGAGTTTGAGCCGTGTGGCGGCGCTGAACAAACTGTAAATTTTGCTTCTGACCTCTAGGTCGTCTGATCCGTAAACGTCCGTCAGAATTCCATAAGCAAAATCGGGATTCGTCACTGAAGACGATGGTTTCCCATTCATGTTCCCAATGTTGTCGGTTTTGGCTCCACTGCAGTCTGGCATCTTTATGGTGTTGAGTCATATGAAGACGAAAATAAGGACGATATGAACGTAACCCAGATGTGCGTACTCCACGATAAATCGTACACTGCCTCTACGATGGGTTTCTAAGTGTTCTTCCTGCCAATCCATCCAAGTCCCTCTGATAGTGGCGTAAGGTCGGCCCATGCGTCTACCAATTTCCCGAAAGTTTAAACCTTGTATCCCGATAATTCGTCCTCTTTCGAAGGGCTTAAGATGGCGAAAATTTGCACATCTTCGAACTCGCGGCATTTTTGAGACACTAACTTTACTAATGCAATGACAGCAATCACAAACAAACGGCGAACTACTCCGAAAAATACTATTCAACAACACGCAATTTCAAGATCTAACAGACAGATAATTTCTATCAGCTGTGGCAGACGACCGTCAAAATTTACTCATTTGTTTGTCTACATGGACTAACTGATTCTACATAATTTCAAAGTTCCTCGCCTCCTCCTACGGGGTGGTTCATTTCTTTTGAAAAACAGAATATAACTAACCATAAACTAGAAACCAGAAACATTCGGCTTTAGCCATGCATCTCTTAAGACGGCCGAAAATTCGGGGTTATCATAAAGTCGAGGTTGTTATGTCATCCAATATTGTAGCGATATGATATCAATTGAGACTGCAAGCGAGTTCTGCTTAATATTATAGCGATATATAATTCTTTTTCTTCGTCCTCTTCTCCTGCGTGGCCAGCGTGGCATTGAGATCCATCTTCTGAAGATTTTCCCCTCTCCACAGCAAGACCCTTGAGAGCTCCTGCATAGTCTTCCCTCGACTGGTCGCTATTTGCGCCGCCACTTTGTCCCATGTTATTCTTGGTCTCCCTATCCATATACATCCGTTCTTTCCCGACCTGTTTTATTCATCCTCAGTCATCCATATTGAGCTTTCCTCAAATACACTTCATTTAGACCGCATTAACCAATATGGAATTAGCTGTAATAAAACATTTCCTGCTTAATCTCAAAACTTATCTATATTTGTCCTCAATTTGATTGTATTAATTAAAGTAGGTATCTTCCAGTTTCCATTTTGGTTTATTCCGCGTCCCGACGAAATCAAATCACAATTTTTTTGTTCCTTTCATTTCACACCATAAACGATGACAGGACTTCATCGTGAAAGACTTTTTTTTTTTAGTTACGCAAGATGAAGAGTTATTAACGATGCCTAAAAATGGACTGAATCGAGAGACGGTTCGGTAGTAATTACGATAATTGGGCGTCGAATTGACATCTATCAAGATAAAAATGTTGTTGTTAAACCGATACGGGTTGGACGCTTTTAAACTGATTAAATTTGGGGATAAATTCCTTAAATTTTTTTTCAAACTTAAAATTCCTATCTTAATTTGATTTTCTTTACAAACAACCCTCACACACATAGTTAATCAAAGGTCTTCGTGTACCACGGATTTTACCTTCCGTCCCCGTATTCGATTCGGTTGAACGGCTGCAATACAACATCTGTCCTCGCCTTTGTGCCAAGCTCATTGTTAGGCCGTCCTCTATCTACTATACACCAAAAGTGATCGTCGACCCAAAATTATACCCTTCGTATATTCGAGGCATTGTGCTTTTCTGGATCAGATAAAAACGGGACAATAAAAAGCGACGAGAACATAAAGTTGTCGGTCGCGAATAATTTGCGGGAGTAAATATTGGTTGCAATATATCGGCTTGGTACGACCAACGTTTCTTATCGGTTAATAATAATCAAACCAACGTGGATTACGGAGGAAAACGCATTGCAAAAGTGTAGATAAGTGAAATTGGCTTTCGCTCTGTGCACACCTGATGCCCGTATTGTCAAACAAGCACGTTCGTACGTTTATTATGAAGTTTTATCGCTTTCCTGTAGTATATACTTCGATATCGGATTATCAAAAAGGATTTATTAAACCATTATATTAAATTATTCAGTAACGATTTATTATTTCTTTAGAAAGGTATCTTTAGAAATCTCTTCTCGGTGTATATTGTAACGCCTCGATCCCAAACGACCTTGGTTATTGTCTATTTTGTCGGCATAGATTAGAGTGCCCAGAAGATACCTCGGTTAGGTTGCGTTTTTGATGATATAAATTGTAGCGTTCCGACGCAAGCGGCAGTTATATAACCATCATCTCGAATCTCCCGAAAAAAGTCTTTCGGGGTTTCGAATACCTAAATTCTACTAGCTCTTTGACGATATAAATTGTAGCGCCTCGGCCGCAAGTGACCTCGGCTACTATTTCTTTATTGGTATAAATTGTAGTGCCTCGGCCGCAAGCGACCTCGGCTGCTATCTGTTTGGCGATATAAATTGTACTGCCTCGGCCGCAAGCGACCTCGACTGCTATCTGTTTATCAGTATACATTATACTGCCTCGGCCGCAAGCGACCTCGGCTATTATCTCTTTATCGGCATAGATTATAGTACTTCGGCCGCAAGCAACCTCGGCTACTATCTCTTTGATGATATAATTTGTAGTGCTTTGGCCACAAGCGACCTCGGCTACTATATCTTTGATGATATAAATTGTAGTGCTTTGGCCACAAGCGACCTCGGCTACTATATCTTTGATGATATAAATTGTAGTGCCTCGGCCGCAATCAACCTTAATTACAATATCTTTTTATCGACGTAAATTGTAGTAATTGTAGTCACCGAAATCGCCTGATCTTAAACACAGCAGATTACTTACGATGCTCTTATTTAAAGAATTTGGTGTTTAGAACGTGGCCAAGAAAGGTGGAATATTTTGTTGTAATTTTGACACTAAAGTAAAAGAAACCTTTAAGGTATAATTCCGTGATAGGTGACAGACTGCAAAGCGCAATCGCAAACTGTAGGCGACACTACTGGTTTAAGATAAGTACAATTCCGCGACAGGCGGAAGTCTGCAAATCGCAGATGACACTATTGGTTGCTAAGACATTAATTCCAAGTGTAGCGGTATTCACATACAAATTATATATATACCAAAGTGATATATATGTACCTTTAACGTTATAATTTAAGTTGTGCGGTGTTTGCCAACAATTAGATATGTCGCAACAAATACTATTGCATAAAAGTTATTGTTGCTGTATATATTGATGTGGATTTAGGCAATCTTGCATATATTAAATATTACAGCTTCATCCTCAACTGTTCAAAACTCGACCTCAATAAAGCATGACATTAAAAGAGTTGTTAACTTACTCACGATTGCTAAATTTAATAAAATTTTTATGATAAAATTGCAGAAAAAGAATGAATAAAAAAGGAACCTTGAAGATGGATAAGAATAGATAAGAATAAATTTGTATGTTAATGAATCACTTACCTTTTGAGCTTTACACATGTGAGCTATAGCTTGAACATCATGAGAAGTATGTCTTGAATCCATTAAACAAATCGCACAAACACCAACCTTACACACTAAACAATACATAGAAAGGATTTCATCTGAATGTTCTGGGCATTTAGTGTCTTTTCCTTTGGCCAAACTGGCCGTGTTTCTCTTCGGTTCGCTAAGTGTGTGTTTGGCCAAAGGGCCACGTGCTGGATGGCATGTTTCCTTGCACGAATCGCAATACAACACCTCACATTGCTCGCACATAACGGTCGCATCTTTCGCAGGCTCAATCTCGCACATCTGACACTTAAAAGTCAAGTTCTTGATCTCACCGAACTTGTCGACGATGTGCTGCATTACGCGGTACTTGGGTAGATTGTGTGCGCCATTCTCATCGAAATAAACCAACTTGTGGCAAATTGGACAAGACAAACTTAAAGCCGTTGGAAATAAGAGTCCGTTCGGTGTTCCGACGTAACTGTTGGGTCTTGAAGTGCACACGACCCCGCTATCTGTCTCGCTAAGAATCGACAGTTTATCACTTTCTTGGTAATCTCCCGAGGAACTTGATGCGACACTTTCGGCGTTTTCCGAATTCGCCAAAGACGACGAAACGGTCGCGGTCGCGTTTTGAGCAGGCTGTTGTAAATTAATCGCACAGTTTAAACAGAGTGCATGATAACACGGCAACAGCACCGGGTTCACGTAGAACTGTTTACAAGCGAAGCAACGGAGCTCGTCTTCCATAATAACGATAGGAGTTGTACAGAACTCCTCTGGGTTCGCCTGCGTACTACGCTCCGACACCGCAGTCAGGTTATGTTTGAAAACAAAAGACGAACAACCACGAATATAGACGAAAAGTTACGATTACCAACCAAAGAAATTATGCAATTTAAAAGGTCAACGATCTAAAATAATCATTAATTTTTTATTTATAGTTTTTAATTAATAACAATCAATTTCGTTATTAAATATGAAAAAAGAATAAAATTATTATTAATTTTAAATTAATTCTTTAGTGTAGCGCCATCTATGTTTTTGTGGGGGAACGAAAAACGCGTCCAAAACATTCAAAAATATAATCCTCATCTTAATTATTTAACGATCATTAATTAAATTCGAAACAAACCTCATTAATATAAATAAGATTTAATTAATAATAAACAATTAAATTTCATTTTAAAAGCTCCATCTATGACACAAGAAATTAAATGTCACTTTTTCTATATGTCAAATAAAACATAACCTAAAAATACAACACAAAATAAAGGTGTAAATATTCACTGAAAATTAACAACTTATTCAATCAAAAATGATCATCTCGAAAGAAGCACTTGTCGATCTTCAAGAGAAATATGAAAAAGTGAAAAAATTGATTGAAGAGGACAGCAAATTAGACCCCGAATCAGAACCTTATCTCTCAAAATACGCCGCTCGAAACATTTTGATTTCAATGAATGCTAATTTGGAGAATATGCTTCGTCAAAACTCTCAAGATTCTTCGGATCACATAAAACTTCTTGGTATGATAATAAATAATAACATAACTTGCTATAATTCAAGAATCATCATGTCGCTTCTAGGTCTAGTGTTAGTTCTAGTTTTAAATGTTGTTTAGCGTTAGATTGTGGTATATTCTTATTGAAAGAAAAGTAGAACTCACAGTAGACCTAGAAATATTTTGGTTTAGCCATGCGTCTCCTAAAGGGGCTAAACTTGAATGTTTCTAGTTCTAGATGTAATGTTAGTTCTAGTGACAGTGGTAGGTAGCGCTACTTAGCATATTTTCACTATGTTTCATATTTTTGTTGCACTATTACTAGAAGTAACACTAGACCTAGGCCTAGAAAGTATTGGGTTTAGGTTTAACTGTTCATCTTCAGACTAGTGTTAGTTCTAGTTTTACACTAGCACTATCACTAGAACTAACACAAGACCTAGAACTAGAATCATTTGGGTTTAGCCGCACGTCTCTCAAGACGGCTAAACCCGAATGATTCTAGTTCTTGTATTAGTTCTAATGATAGTGGTAGTGTAAAACTAGAACTAACACTAGACCTAGAACTAGAAACATTCGGGTTTAGCCGCACGTCTTTCAAGACGGCTAAACCCGAATGATTCTAGTTCTAGGTCTTGTGTTAGTTTTAGTGATAGTGCCAGTGCAATACCACAACTAACACTAGACCGAGAGTCTTCAGACTAGTGATAGTTCTAGTTTTACACTAGCACTAACACAAAACCTAGAACTGGAATCATTCGGGTTTAGCCGTCTTCAAAAATGTGCGGCTAAATCCGAATGTTTCTAGTTCTCAGTCTAGTGTTATTTCTCGTATTGCACTAGCACTATCATTAGAACTAATACAAGACCTAGAACTAGAATCATTCGGGTTTAGCCGTCTTGAGAGACGTGCGGCTAAATCCGAATGTTTCTAGTTCTCGGTCTAGTGTTAGTTCTGGTATTGTACTAGCACTATCACTAGAACTAACACAAGAGCTAGAACTAGAATCATTCGGGTTTAGCCGTCTTGAAAAACGTGCGGCTAAACCCGAATGTTTCTAGTTCTAGCTCTTGTGTTAGTTCAATAAATATAAACAACAACCCATAGTCTGTTTTTAAACCAGGAGGAGTGCATCCGAAAGTTAGATTTACACTAGGAAATATCACCAGAAAATATCACTAGATATTTTAGCGGTAAATTTAAATTAATAATTATTATTATTTATTTTATTATTTATTATTAAACATACAAATTAACATTGATGTTATGAGTGTATTTATTTTAAAATATAATTTTACAAAAGTAAATAAAATAAAATGAAACTGTCGAATGATCAATAACCCAAGATTTGTAAAGCGTATTGTACCAGGTTGGCGAGAGATGGAAAAACTCGATTTGAAGAGTGAAGGGGGGGATGACGTCACCAGATCTGGAGATCCGAGTCGGAGTAGACGACGAACCTTTTTTGATACAAACAGAACAAAAAGTTAAGTCTTTATTTTGGTCTGTTTTATTTTTTATTCAACATTTGTTTAATTTTATTGATTTTGCACTTGCTTTACTGCTTTGATTTTTTAACGATTCATACTTTTCATTTAAAAAGTTAATTTAAATAAAACGATATATTTAAACCAACAACTGTTGATACAACATAATTCGAACGACAATTTTTAATTGCACATGAAAAGGGCATCTAAAATTACAAATTTTGATATGGGGTTATAATAAATCATATAGCTTATCTGTAAATAATTACCTTGGTATTGAAATTATTGAAAAGTTTCTTAATATTAATTATAAATTTTCAACAATAAAAACCAGTAATAAACAAAAAAAACTATTTTATAATATAAAATAACCGAAATAACAATGAAAAAAACAGAAATCGTATTACGGCTGGATCTGGTGACGTCACGATGAGGGCATCTAAGGGGGGGAATATTTTCGTTTATTGAAAAGGTTGAGTCTGGCCAACCTGGTACAATACGCTTTACAAACCTTGCAATAACCTAACTGTCAAATTCAAAATTGCCTGTGTGTGAACCTTCCTCGCTTTCAACCAATCACGTGCAAGGTCAATCTGGTGAGAAATTTAAAATGCTCTTCCTGGTTTAAAAACAGACTATAGCACTGAATCAGAAATAAAACTAGAACCAACAGAACACAGAGAACAAGAAAGTTTCGGATTTAGCCGTGCGTCTGAAGTGGTAGGTAGCGAAACTTTCTAGTTCTCGATCTAGTGTTAGCTCTAGTTTTACACTAGCACTATCATTAGAACTAATACAAGATCTAGAACTAGAATCATTCGGGTTTAGCCGTCTTGAAAGACGTGCGGCTAAATCCGAATGTTTCTAGTTCTAGGTCTTGTATTAGTTCTAGTGATAGCGTTAGTGTAAAACTAGAACTAGAAAGTATCGGGTTGGGTTGTTTCTAGTTCTAGGATTAGCTCTAGTTTTAGTGCAATAAAAATATGCAACATAGTGATATCTTATACTAACTAGCGCTACCTACCACCGTCACTAGACTTAACATTAGAACTAGAAACGTGCATCTTCTTCAGACGTACAGTTAAACCCGATACTTTCTAGATCTAGTGTTAGTTCTAGTTTCACACTATCACTAGAACTACCACAAGACCTTGAACTAGAATCATTCGGGTTTAGCCGTCTTGAGAGACGTGCGGCTAAATCCGAATGTTTCTAGTTCTAGGTCTTGTATTAGTTCTAGTGATAGCGTTAGTGTAAAACTAGAGCTAGAAAGTATCGGGTTGGGTTGTTTCTAGTTGTAGGGTTAGCTCTAGTTTTTGTGCAATAAAAGTATGCAACATAGTGATAGCTTATGCTAACTAGCGCTACCTACCACCGTCACTAGAACTAACATTAGAACTAGAAACGTGCATCTTCTTCAGACGTACAGGGTGGGCAAATTTGGGTGTTATTATAGGCTATCTCAGAAACTATAAGAGATACAAAAAAAGTAGGTGCCATGTCCCGGTCCCTTTTTCCGAGACTAATCCAATCCCGTAAAGACCAAATCTCTATCTTCTTTTGTTTTTAAGTTATAGCCAAAAAGTCAAATTTTAGTGATTTCAAAAAATGCTCATATTTCGTCTATTTTTGAAATTAGAGAAATGGGGTTAATACATTCTTAAGACACTTTTTTGAGTAGAATATACTGCCGTTGAAAAATTTTTAACATAGCTGATAATTTTTGAGATATAACATAAAGTTGTATTTTTTTAAATACAAACTATAGTTTATTATGATGTTACTGAAAAGAGCATATTTTTAGCTTTCCAATGATGTATCGCACGCATGATGTTTCTGCGGAAAATAAGCGTTATTTTTCAATTTTTAAAATATTAAAGATTAAAATTCAAATTTTTAATTATAGTAGGCGAGGAAAACGCTAAATACTACTTAGTTACTATAGCAACGTGAGTTTACTTGTCATTTCATTCATGAATTTTGCGAAACGAGTTTCCCGTTTAAGAAGTTCCGCATTATCTTTAAATAAAACGATAAAATTAAATATAGAATATATTGGAGTCCGCTTTGAAGATGATACATAAGTCTTCATATCCCCATTCAAACGGTGTTTCAATGGAAAGTCCGCTCCCAGTTTATGATTCCTAATTTTCCTCTATCTCAC